CCGCGGTGCTTCGCCCATTGACATTACCTACAAATCAATATTTATATTACAATGAAAAAATATGTGGGTAAGTATGAATATTATTATTTTTATTAAAACACGAAATATTTAATAAACTGTTTTTATTCAACATTCGTTTTAAAAATAATTCTATCATAGAAAAAATAAAAACACACACTGAATAGAAAAAAAGAGAACGAACCAGACCAACTAGTCATTATAAAGAGCAAAAGATTGGAAAACAGAAATGGCAAATCGATTACCTATTTTTCTTCTTTATTAGGTACCTACGCGTTCTCTATTACGGCTTATGACAGATAGAACACATTTCCTACAGAGTTATGATCATTATCAATAGGAACGTCTGTGAATAGGTAAATATAAAAAAAATTAATTAATACTAACAAATGTAATATGTATTTATTGGCAAAATGTATAAGAAATTGCATTTACTTATTCAAAATATGCAAAAAATATTTAAATATGAATAGTTTTCATTGAATACATTTTATTTTGAGATAGTATAATATTATGACAAGTGCTGCTTTTTTTATCAGAATTAAGAAATCTGTATTCAATAAAATTATGTATTTACATAAAAATTGTATCTACTTATCACGTCATTTCAATCACGATTGTACTAAGATACATTATAAATGGGTCCTACCTATTGTATAAGAAATAAAATAAACTCATTTATTCTTCTTAGTTTGGTATTCTGATTGAAACGGTGTGTTTTCCATTTGATATGTATGCGTTCTTTGATTTAGTTTTTTTTTTAAATCAGCGTATGTTGTTATGTTTAAAAAATTCTTAGAAACTCCAAAATTAAACATACAACATACGCAGATTAAAAAAACCAAATCAAACGGCAAACACATTGGCTCAATGAGAATACCTAACTAAGAAGAATAAAAAACCCAATCTTTGGCTAGCCAAATTTCCCTCCGAATAGAAGGGATAAGGTAATTATAAACAGACTCCGCATGGGCTACACCGTCTTACACATGGGTAGAAAAGGGAGAAAAACCAGGGTACATTTTTTGTGGAACTCTCAGTCAACCACTTAATCACCGAATGCCTCCAATACACATATGAACATAGAAAATTCAACATATACCCAACATCTTAGACGCAACACTCAGACCAAACACAGACACCACCACACAAGTTCTTAAATTCTTAATCAAAACTAAACTATACAATAAAATAAAAAAAAACATACTGACATGTCTTATCAGTAGTGCGTAAAATGTTGCAGGTATACAAATAAGCAAATTTAATATCGAGTTTCGTGTTATGCGAACAGTCATATCGTTTTATTTTCTCTACCTATCATAGTATTATTATGACTATTATAAACGGTAGTATGGGAAAAATTTAAAATTTATTTTTTCTGTTTTTTACATGACCCTCAGAAGTCTCATATAAATATATAATATGCATATTGTGTATGTGTTATTATTTTTTCTTCCTGTCACGGAAGTAGACCAAAGCGTTTCGAAAGAGTCAGGATGAATACAATTTGTGCTTTAAATATAGGTTAAGAGTTCCAATTTTCTGGTGTTTTGTTATCAGTAGAAAATCAATAATAAGGTGCTAAAATATATATTATTATTGTCATTACCTATATATAACAAGCAGCACACATTTTTAGATAAATTTTTCTATTATAGTGTAAATTGTATTTAATATATTATTATGCATCATGAAGACTGTTGCTGTAGTAGTGACTCACTGAACTCCAATATCCGCACTTTTCTTAGAACTACTTTCTCATGACTAAAAAAAAAAAAACAAACATTTTTTAACAATAACGCACTCTGTATATAGTAATGGTGCATCTAGTCCATGGCAGTCATTTTTCTATTTGCCACTGTACGGTTTAAACTTTAATCAAAACTTTTGTTATATTTTCGCATGGGATTTTGTGATAGGCTGTGTAATGAAAAAGCTCAATTTTTTTTCATCGTTCGATTTTTGATTAACAAACCAATATACTGTTAACAAGTTCATTTGTCACGAATTGTTCGGTCCGGGAGGCATATCGGCTTATCTCTGTGCATAAAACACGTCACGCCAGTTATAACAATACAAAGTCGTCGGGGTCGACGTGTCACCGGAAACCTTCTCGACACACAAAGCGGAGTGACAGTGAAAAACAGGAGTAAGCATCATACACCACTGCCTATAACGGATCCAGATCTGGCCATTAATTTAAAACGTTTATCACACAACGATGTTTTTTTCCTACGTTTTTGATGATATACATTTTCTATTTTATAAAAGTATCACGTTTTATTCAATTTATTTTTTGATCATATAAACATTTACAAATGTGAATATGAAACTATCACGAGTATAAGCTGAGTATACTAATTGTTTAGACTAATTTAAGTTTATCCTGGAAAAGGGGAAGTGTGGAACATTTTCCCCCTTCTCCGAATCCGTCTCACGTGAATAGATATACCATGGACTGTAGATAATATCAATATTATAGTAATATATTAATATACGACGTAGTATTGTGACCTTGTTTTGAACGAACACGCTTAGTACATAATATAACAACTCGTATACAGAATATACACGAGAAGATGACAATATTTATATAATAATATAATATTATCATGCAGCAGTGTATGCCTATCCAGTACAATATATAATACCTACAGTATTGCTTGACTTTGTCCGGAAAAAATTAACAATGTTATAAAATACCTACCAATTGGTGTATTTTGGTTTTAATATAGATACCTCAAATCACTGTCAAGCCAGTGCAGTGGCGTATTAAGGAATTTTTAATGGAGGGGGTCCAGCTAATTTCCAAAACACATTAAAATTGGGTGCTCTGCACCCCACGCCACCGTACTGCAATAGAAATTCAATTTTATTCAAAGTTATTACAATACATTAACATAAAATCATTTTGATGTTAATAGTTATTTATATTATTTTATCAACATTTATATCACAACATTTGATTATTTCATCGACATCTAGATGTATGTCCCGATGAATGGACATCATTGCTGGTCCATTTTGCCTAGCCTACATAATAATAAAATTAAAAATACAGTTATATTGTGAGAAAAAAATTTATTTTAGGCATTTTAGAATTTATTTTACAAAAAACAAACAAGTACAAAACGTACGTACCAATAATGCAAACGAGAGTAGAGAGCGTCGGTCAGTACAAAACTAATAACAAAATTAACCAATATATATTTTTAAATATGAATACCTACTGATAGACCGATAAAGAAAAATTATTAAAGTTTATATTTTATAACCATGTTATGCTATGTAATACGTCTATGTTTATAAAGGGCATGGGGCAGGCTGTTCTATAGAAACAGAATAAGTACAATTTTAACTATTCTGTAGTTGTTCCCCATAGTTAAAGACTCTAAAGCAGTCATGCCCAACCCACGGCCCGCGGGCCACATGTGGCCCGCCAAGGTATTCCATGTGGCCCGTTACAAATTTTTAAAATAAAACAAAATATTCCAAAAAAAGTAAAATTATTACAAAATACGATTTTAATTAATTTATAAATAAAAAATACAATAATAAAAATAAAAATAAAAAGTATATAAAAATGTTTTTAATGTGAAATTTGAACTTTTGTTTCTTTGACTAATAATGAAAAATCTGGTTGGAATTTAGTTGTTCCAATCCTCAAAATTGAATGAAGGTGTTCATCCGTAAGTCGCGATCTATGAACTGATTTTGTTTGTTTCATCCGTGAAAATATTTGTTCACATATATACGTCGAGCCAAATACAGTTGCCATTTTCATCATAATGTCTCTCAAAGCAGGGAAATCTTCGTGTGAAAGCGTTAAAAATTTTAAAATACTGTTTTTTCATGTTGAAATTCACTAGTAAATGAATTTGTTTTACTCGATAAGTTCAAGTTGAAAAAAGTATCGCTATTTCTAATATTGGGGATTTCAAAAAACCAACGATTTTTCGGGAATTAACATCTGAAATGATGAAAATCGTTGCAATTTGTTTAACAACATACAAATCGTTTGTTGAACATATGATTTTGTTATTGAAATTTTGGCAGTTCTCAAAATGACTGAAATAGAATTTTATGAGTTAAAATGAATCACCCGTGTAAGAGCGTACTGATCAAAAGCTACTACAAGTGTCCTCAATTTGTAATCTGTCTATACTCATAAAAAGATGAAAACCGTCAACAGTACCTCCATATATATTGAACCTAATGTGTAAACTAATGTATTAAATGTGAGAAATGAGTCTTTAGATTGTGCCGCTAGATTACAATTTTACAAGTGCCCGCCGGTGGAAATAGTGGGAAAGACTCTAAAAGGAACCTTATGGATTTCCAACTGGCAAGTGCCACCTTTAGTGCCAAATTATTATCCTTTTCGGTACCTTAACTATGTGGAACCGGTATCAAAATTATTTGGAACCGATACCTTTTTTATCAGAAACCCAGAACCGAACCGGAACAGTTATTTTATTTATGGAGAACCGGTACCGGAACCGATACTGATAAACTCAAAAGGTTCCGGTCCCTGATTATATCCGATTAAAATTATAACCCATGCCATTGGCATAGTATGTATCCACCTATAATGCTATAATAATAATATTTGGAATTCGTCACCGACGCGCCGCCGCCGCCGTCGCCGCCGGCACGCCGTAAACCTCGACCGGATCGGACGCGGTGCCGCCACACCGTGCAACCGACGCCGATTAGGTCAGCCCCACTCCGATCACGTGCCGCACAAGACAAGGCCCTCGAAATCCGTCGGCGGCATTCCCCCCGACAGTATAGTCTGTGCACGCGGGCGCGAGTGCCATCGTTTTGTCGTACGAACAACAAAACATCCGCGAAACAATAAATTACCGGCCGCGTTCACCCCGTAGATCGCGAGTGGTTTTCGATCGACAGCTTTTAAGCGGAAAGTAGTGCCCTAGCCCCGACCACTGTTCGGTGCGGTTGTCCGAAATCGGGCGACCAACATGAACGGCGGCGGTGTCCCGCGGTGGTCCACAACCGATTCGTCCAGTGGCGACCGTGAAATCCGGCTGGACGACGGCTGTGGAGGCGGAAGCCGATACCCTCACGTGTGGCTCAGGAACAACTGCCCTTGTTCGTCGTGCGCGTCCGCCGAGTCCGGTTTCCGGAAACAAGTGATCCGCGATTTTCGGTTCAGCTCGGCGCCGGCCCGGCTCGAGGTAAGCCAACACTACTTTATGGAACTTTTTCAATTTTTAATTACATTACCGTACCGTACTTTTCATTCAATGCTATGTATTATAATACTATTAAAGTTGGGCATTATTCGGTATAAATGAGAATATTTTATATATAGCAGGTAGGACGTAAATATTATCATACTGCACCGTCGCTGAACACCATTTATCCCTCCACCAGCTTCCACTACCGAATCTGCTATTAGCATTTATAATGCCATTTTACAAGCACATTTCTTTGGTTACAGTAATACATGTTAATTTTAATAATAATATATTGACTAATAATTTGAAGACTTTTAAAGTGGTACTTAGTAGAAGTACTTCGAAATACTGAAATAAAAGGTTATTTGTATATTAAAGTAATTTAATATTATAGGATTTTTGATATCAATATTTTTTTTTTTTTAAAGCTAACCCGCATCTAAGTAAAATCAATAAATCAGGAAATCCGTTCAGAATTTTAAATACATAATACTTTTGAGAAAATAATATATCTATTCCAGTAAAGGTACTTGTGCATGGTTCTTCTAATTCGTTCTTTATTTTTCTGGTGAATTATTATTACCTTTTTATACTTTTCTATTTTTTTAATTATATTACATCTTACATAAGGTAATATTATATTACAGATAATATTAAGAACTTTGACTTCACCCAGACGTACTGTAGCTGTTTTTTCGATCATTACTTGAGTATGCGCTGGTTATATCTGGGATCATCACATTGCAAATAACTAATTCAAAATTAAGTATTAACACTTAATAATATTAATTTTGACTACCATCTGTACTCTACTATTTAAATTATATTTCATTATCCAATGGAATGTAAGATTGAGTAAATTTTTTTTTTTATTGTAATCGAAAAATAATAAAATGCATAGTCGACTCTTTGTGCATAATACTGTTTTAAGAAAATGTTTTAAAAATGTATACTATTTTCAACTTTCTCAATTTTTTGTGTAACTGAAAAATCTCTAAATGCACAACTTTTTTTTCGGACAATTATATTGTTCTACGATGTTGGATATTAACGATTGGGTATAACAAAAATTACGATTTTAGTTATTTTGTCGTAACTTTAATAACTATTATTCGTAGGAACTTGAAATATTTCGTTAACAAGTATTCCTATTATTATTTGTGTGGTTACAATCCTAAACGTGCAATTGTCCTTTTTTTGAATATCGAGTTATTCTATATTTTTGTACTATAAAAATGGTGAGAAACTAAATCAAAAATATAAATTTTTCTGTATCTATAATATTTTATGGGTTAAAACAGTTTTGAAAATGTGCTTTTATTCTGAAAAGTACTATTTCTATTGTCTACCATTAAGTCAAAACGTGTTATTACCATTTTGGTTCAAAACATGATAGGTATTGCCTTTATATAGTATTCTTTTTGGTGTACGACAAAATTACATTTTCGAAAGTGTCATTGCTATATTTTTTTTCCAAAACGTGTTATTGCTCATATTATTTGTAAAGGACGGAAAAAAAAATTTTAAAAAAGGTATATTGTTGCCATATTATGGTTATATAAAATTAAAACTATTATTCACATTAAGAATTATTGAAAATTAATAATTTTATCAAGCCATTGCAACTTAATAAGCATTAACTTATCTTGAAAAGAAGACAAAATTGTCTAACTAAAAATATTAACATGTTATCAATTGTTCTGAATTTAATCTTTCTAAAAATAACACCAAAAATTCGTCACTGTTATCTGGGTGTCTAAGAATCAATGTTTATCAATTTTAAACTTACGGTGAAGTATCAGATATTATAGGTTCTGTACCTACTACCTATAAATTATTCTATTGTATAAATGTTTATTTTATTGTTTTTGAATTTTTACTGTAACACATTTTTGAAAAAAAGTTGGTAATTGTCTTAATTACCACAGCACAACACAAACGTATAGTAGGTATCCTATAAAGACGTTATATAATTATCTTTATCATTACCTCTAACACTTTGATAATCGTTTATTTACGATTCAATTAGGTTTGTAATAATTATTGCCTCTGTACATTTAACTGGCCTTCCTATTTACATTATATTAATATCGATTAGCTTAAAATTGTATTTAATATGTACGTTGTATTATAATTTTGTTTTACTCTAATTTTTGAGATATTAAAGTGTTATTTACTAGAAGATAATAAAAAAGGTACAAATTCATATTTCTACTACACAATAACCAAATGTAAAAGTAGCCTTTCTGAAAATCGCAATACCATGTTTTGTATTGTAACCACACATTTATTATACACAATTAATTTTTAAAAACGTATTGATAGATTAATTTTAAGTCATTTCTACAATGAAAATATTCTCAGCATTCTGCTGCACATCTATATGACTAAGCTATAATATATAACTTAAGTTATCAGTAAAAATAGATTGTAATATTATATTATGAAATATTATACAATAATTAATGTAAGTATCTATAATATTATATTATATAAATTTGTCATTGTCAAAAATTAGTTCAACACGCATTACTAATAGAAAAATAAATACTTTTCTAATATAAATGTACCTATAATAAAATATTTTTAGAAATATAGGCTAATAGACAGTCAAAATTATTTTTCATATGATTGTTAAATTAAAAATTTAGCACATCCATAATATCCTATTCAATTACAAGGTACATTCAGAACCTACTAAACTATACAAATTAGTTACTTACCCAATTTTTCCCCCCAGCAATTAAAGTTCAAAATTCAAAAAATGTTAATTTTCAAATGAACACAATTTCAACTAAAAGTTTGATAAATATATTTGTACAATGAATATTATGCGACTGTAAGTGGCTTATATACAAAATGTAATTACTTAGTGCTTGATTAAGTAATAACATAATGTAGTTGGTAACATTTTAGTTGATACCTACCTACTAAATATTTTTTTGGACTTCTATCCCCTGTCAGGTATAATCAATCCAGATCAATGGCATGATGTTAAGTTACTATGCACTCATATTAGGTTTTCAGTACCTACTCTAATTAATTTAATGGAAGTTCTAAATTTGTTTCAATCATTTGCATTTTATTTTTGAATATTGTATAATTCCTTCCATTTGACTTAAGTTCAATAATAAATAACTATCAAGCGCCAAATTCTATTATAATAGGAAGTGTTGATTTAATTGTTACCCTTTTTTATACTCTGAACTGTATAACCGAAAGTAGACCACTTCCGCATTACTCCATAAAAGTCCTTTTGAACAAACATTTAATGATGATACACCAGAATTTATTAAACATCAATTTAATTATTATCTATTTTGTACTTTTCATGAAGTAACTTAACCAACAATATCTTAACTAAATTGATATTTTTTTACAATATTAATTAGTAGCACGGCTGTTATTAAATGTTTCAATATTGACATATCGAAACAAAAATTGAAAAATATAATTAACAATTCATATGAGTATATAGGTACCTACCTAAATTGAATTATAATATTATGAAGGCAAAATTATTACAATTTATTATTCTATTGGATAAGAACAACTATTCCAAACAATTGACTATAGGTAGTATAAATATTTTAGTGTGTAAGTTTATGAACTTTTTTCTTATATAATTGATAAAATATTACTTAAATCGTTACTTTTATATAGGAACTCAATAAAAATAAATTGTTTTTTATTACCTATATAAATATCATATAATATAAAAATTATTTTTCCGGGTTCGAACTTTTTTTTATAATATGTGTTTATGTTTTTAAAATACCTAGGTAGTTGGATTGATGATAACAGTGTGGGTTTGCCTTTTACAAGATTTAATAACGACCCACGAGGCCACGAATATAACAACAAAAATACATAACTTACAAAAATATTGTACTATAATTAAAATGTTACGCCAATTATTATTCGTTAATAGGTAGGTATGTTATTATTAGAAATTGTTATAATGTTATCAATCATTATTTTTCTAAGGTATAACCAAGAGTTTTCAAATTATTGAATGTTTTTTTTTTGTTGAATTCATAGTTTATTTTTACATTTTGTAAATTATCAAAAATATAGAATTAAAGTTGTTTTTAGTTCACATTTGTATGTCCAATTATTATCATTTCTGTTGGATGACAATACGAACTTCTATATACTATGTGGGGGCTCAAATGTATTAAATCTATGTCAGAATGTTGATTTAGAAAGAATAATCATATATTATATATTATATATTATATTTAAATAATTTATAGTATTTTGGTATTTCGATTTATAACAATTACACTTTTAATATAACATAATATTATGACTGTATTTGGTCGGTTATAATTTAAAAATAAAAATATTAAATACAAAATACTAATATTGTTTGTATAGATGTCAGTGGCTTACAAACTAGAATAATACAATTATTATTATTATTATAATTATTGATTTATTATTGCTTTAATGAATACACTATATTACAGAAATACAGCGTGACAATTATTTTTAGAAGTTTAGATGAAAAAATTTTAATTAAGAAACGAGCCGTAAAAATATAGAATTAAAGGGAAAATAACCGGAGGGGATTGAGAATTCAAGAAAAGACTGTAATAGATGGTGAGGTATAAGTGTATAACGACTTTATTTAAAATTGCAAAATTAATTTCGGCTTGAATTTAACATTTCGTGTACAATTATATTTGTAAGGCCGATTAAATAATAATTATACAATTCATTAGTTACGATAATTTAATTATTTATTACTAATGTTCTCAACGTTATATTTTTCATATTTTCAGAAGTAGGCGCCTAAGCTATTATGCGAATTGTAATGACAAAATTCGATACATTAATAGGTTGTAATCAATCATTGAAAAAAACTTAATAATAAAGATTCGAGTTAATACCTATAGTTTTCACATCACATGGGTCCATTAAAATGTCCATCAAGAGCTATAAGGTATATTTTAATGTATTATAGGGTATTAATTTACAAACATAAATTCTCT